AAGATGGACTTCTCTCGGCTTCCCGGTGCGCGTTTCTTCGTTTGCGGGTAAGTCGTTCCGCTCGGCGGGCGCTCGGAAGCAGCGCGGTGAAGCCGCATTGCCGCCCCTAACCGCGGCAGTCCTGTCGCCTGCCGGTTTCGTGCCGGCTGAAAACAATATCGGGCTTGTTCCCCTTCCCCCGCAGGGAGCTGGGGCTGCTGCTGGTCCTGATGGAAGTCGTGCTGTCAGCCGTCAAAGTGGACGCTGTAAGTAAAAACGCCTGCTGACTTTTACCGAGGAGAGAGGAGGAAAAAGCAGTTCCCTTGGTGCCAGAAAGTGAGGAACTGCGTTCGCCCTTGCCTGGTGGCGGATCTGTCGTTCCGTTAAAAGAAACAACCAACAGATCATCTCCGCAAGCCTTACAGGTTACTGCCTGCAACGAGGTGATGTTTAGCAGAGGAGCCGTGAGGCTGCAGCGTCAGGCTCTTTGAAGTGTTCCCCTGTTACTTTTCCTCAGGTTGGGTAATTTGTTACAGCGATAGCAAAGCGCGTCCCACAACGTCTTCATTTTCATAAGAAAAGCGCCAGGACAGAGGGGTGGGACAAAAATGCCGCGCTATAGATACCGGAGAGTACTCGGGAGAGGTTAACCTGCGGATGAGATATCCTCAGTTCAGTACAGACCTCGTCTGAGGACCGCGGAGTTGAAGCTGTGGCTTAATTTCTCAAATCAGAGGTGTGTTTATACATAAATCGTTGTTTAAATTAAATTGTTAAATCCGAAAATAAAAATTGGTAAGTCCGATGCGATACAGGTGGTTGCGAATACCCGCTTGAGGTGTTGATGTAAACAGAAGCCATTAAACTCTTGGGTCTTCGTCACAAGGGTGTGGAAGAGGTGAGAGATAGCATACGTGGGAGCGCAACACTTGCCTGGTATGAAGCTTGGTGAATGAAATGGAAAGGCTGTCATTGATGCGAGGAGGCTTTGGATCAGGCCTGGGTCCTGCAGGCTGAGAGGCCACGAAGGCTTGGCTTGCGGCTGCGTTTGTTGGCCACCGAGCGTGGGCAAGGCTCTGGGGTCATGTGTGAGTGGGACCTTGATTACGTTTTTTCAAAAGCTGTCCTAGTTTAATCGTGCTGCCTGCAACTTTCACCCCTTTTCTGTGGCTTTGCACTCCTCGCAGATACCTGACGTGGTTACATCTTTGCGGTGAGATGGCATAATCTGTGAAGAAGTGGGAAATGCTAGGGCCTTTGCGCGGGTGTTGTGACACGCGACGGCTTTGCTCTCAAGCAGCAGCTGGCAGGTAGAGCCTGCCCATCGGTCTGCGCGGCGGGTTGGCCTCTCCGCGTCGTGGCAGGCTGGGGACACACGGCCCCACGGGAAGGGAAGCGAGCGAGGGCTTCGAGTGTCACGTGCTGCTTTCCTTCGCCATGTTCTGATAGTAACGTCATTCTGCTGAGTAACGCTGAACAGACGGTGGTATTGCCATGTGCTAGTGAAACCAGAACAGGCTGGTGGTCGTGCCAGCTTTTTAAGGCCCAGTGATGAAATCACCGGGATCAGCCGGCCTAAAAAGGCGGCATTTGTGTTAAGACTCTTCTTTTTCCGAAGCTGGGCTGTAGCGTGCGTAGCATGGTACCTGAGCTTTAGCTGTAGCGTGGGCTCATTCATTCTCCTTCGTGTTCTCGCTTGCAGACTGCAGGCTGCGGTGTTAGTGCAGACGTACACCGAGCAGGCGTTCGAGCTCCCTCGGTGAGCGGATGCAGTCTGGTCACGGCTGCTTGAAGCTCCGCGGTGCTGGTTTTGCCACAGCACCTCAGAGGAGTAAATTGGCCTGCTTGGAGGTCAGATTTCCCTGATTTAACGGTTCCTAAGGTGGTGGCTGCGTAGGAGACGCAACACCCTGGTGAAAGTGAATGAGGAAGTTTGGTCATGTTTCCACAAAAAATTAGAGCTGCATTGCCACCAAAATATTTATCCCATTTTCTACCCGTATGCCACTCCCTTCCCTTGGCCAGCACAGGTCTTTCTGTAGTCACGTGGTGAACTGAGTTGGAAAATTACTTGTTTAAACTAATCCGTCCCCAAAGAGAGAAGAGGGGTGAGAGCTAACATTAGCTAACATTGTAGAGGCTTGGGCTGGCACGGGCCTGGGAGCAGGCAGAGGGGGTGGGAGAGGGGGTGGGCTTGCTCCTGGCAGTGACAGTTCTGGTCTAGGCAAAGTGATAGAGTGGGCGCATGTGGGAAGCAGCAGCAGCAGCACCTGAGTCATTGCAGGTGGGCTGCTGGCAGTCGAATTCTGTGTATTCTAATTCTGTTTGTCACATTGAATCTCCTGTTATTTGTTACACGGATTAATGTGCTAGTGTTATGAAGTGTTTTGCTAGCTTGGATTAAAAAAAAACCTGATATGAATTATTAAAGTCTGTGGGACCAGATCTTATAAGTCATGCTTCTGCCTGTAATGAGACAAGCAGAACTGCGGAGTTTGACAGCCATGTGTATGTGACTGAGTTACGGCTGCTGGAGATGAGTGTTGTTGAATGAGTGAAATTGTACATAGGAAGAAACTGGAATGAAATTGAGGAGAAAGCCAGGAAGGAGGGAGAGAGAAACAGGGGAGCTCGGAGTGTTTGACTGGATGTCTTGCCTGGCAGGCTGCTGCTAGCTGTTAGGGAGATGGATGTTTCTGAGGAAAGGAAGAAGTGAGAGGAAGAAAAAGGACGAGGATGTTTAGGATATCTGAGGGTTGGGGAAGAAAAAATGGTTTCTCTGGCAAGAGGAGAGGATGCTGGTTGCAGGCTTGAAGAGAACTAAGGAAGAGGAGTCCCTGGATGGAAATACTAGGAGAGACAGCCAAATGGAGTGGATCAGGCTGCAGTTATCTTTAGTGCTCTTTGGCGTACACTGGCTGGTGATGTTAAAGGCCCCAAATAACTTTGGAACTATTCTAAACTGTAGATTTAAGTATTCATCTGGCTTAAATAAAATTAAGTTGTGTTAACTACAAAGTTTGGCCAAGTTTGTAGATTTCTTCTCTTTCTGCCCCTGCAAATATATTGCAGCCAAAATATAGTTCTTGCAGTATTGTTTTGTTCTTTTCAGAGAGAATGTATCTTCTGCTGATTTTTTTTTCTTTTGTTTTTCCTAAAGCACACTTCTTCCTAAATAGTTTTGTAACATTTGATGACTTTATTGTAGCCCCCTTAGTATATTTTTTAAACTGCCCCTAATTAAAACTAATTTTTTCCCCCCCAGGCTATATTCTGGTGGAAACAATGGATTCCCAGAAAAGAAGGGAATGATTGTCAGATAAAAGAAGGCAAATTGAGAGAGAATAAGTTAGAATAACATTTGCAACAATAACTACACATAACAGATCACAACCGTTAAAAAGGCAAACATATATAGATGTATAGAGAGATTTATATAGAAAGAAAATAGAGTCAAAGCAGTGCATGAGATACAATTTTCTTGACTTCTGTAACATTGTAAAGGGATATATTAGGGGGAATGGCATCAAAGAGGGAGAAGCAACTATGCTTAAAAAGAGAGGATAAAAGCAACACCACTTACGAGCTTCTGTCTACTTTGTAGTGAAATAGGATTGCTGACACAGGTGCCTAAGTTAATGCTCTAAGTTAAAATGTGCCAGTGGTCTCTGGCTGTCTTGCATCCAGGTTTTCCCAGATGTGTCCTGTTTTATTCCATTTGGAAACTATTGTCTGGTTGAAACGGGGGTGTTTTACCTTAACCCAGTATTTCCAGGCTGAAAGAAGCCAGGGTGGAGTAATCAATCAGCCCGTCCTGCTGGGCGTGACTCCTGTGACTGCACACACTGGGGTCACAGTGTGCAAAATGTGGTAGTGCGTGCGTACTGCCTGGGTGGTCTAGGAATAAGTCATCAATCTGATGTATTGATTTCCTCTGCTAGGTTGCTTAGCGCATGCAAAGTGAATCCGTCTCTTCCTGGAAATACCAGGCTCCCTACCTGCGTACTGCTTCAGAAATAGCTCTGTCTAGGAGATCCCTGCAAAGAAATGTGGCAATCCTGTTTTAGAACAACTTAATTTCGTCACTAAAATGAGGTGATTTGGGATAACTCCAACGTTTTGCAGGCATGGGTTATTTGGGTCTGTTTACTGGGTGCATAGTTTGGCTCGTCTTTGAGTAAGAAAGGTGTTTCCTAAGAAAATTTGACAGAATACTGGTAGCTTGAAAAAAAACTCCAGCATTTTGGGGATCCTCCCAGCATATCTGATAATTTTATTCACAATTTTGTTGAACCCTGAAAGAGTTATTGGGTGTTTTGGACAGGAGTTTTTCTACATTCAGTCATGGAGCTGTGAGGAAGACACAGGTCTGTTAAAGAACTATGAGAAGCGAAGGAGGTGGCATCCAGGCAGCTACATAAGGCAAAACCCCGTGCTTCTGCCGCCACCGACAGCCATGCCTTGATCTGGCAGTGATGTTTCCACGATGAGGGTCGCAGTGTGCATCATACTGCAGATGGGCAGCGGGATGGCAGCTCAAATGGGATTTTTGTTTTTTCTTTTATCAGAGCCAGGATTTCACCTGTCAGCATCATACAATGTCAGGCAGACTAACATACTCACTGCAAGTACTGCATATGTGGAAATGTAGTCATGGTACATAGCTATAAATTCCTTATTTCTGGTCCTTTCTTTCTTGTATGCAGTCTGCTCCGCTCCTCAGTGAGAGAGGTTCCTTAAATGTCTCTTCCCTTTGTTATTCCTCAAATTCTTCCTTGAATTTTTTTTTTTTTTTGGTGCCATGCCTATGAAACCAATACTCATCCTAATTTCTTAAGAATCAATCAGTCTTCCTAGGAAAATTTCTTCAAAAGCCAGTTCTGCTCTGTCTGTGTGGAGTACATTAGAGAGACTATTCTTTATACCCAGTCATATCCTAACACCGATTCAAGTAATTAATTCAAGAACTAAAGACAGGTTACACTAAAAGCAGTAGATTGTGTTTCCCTGGAGTTAGTGATGAGAAAAAGGTTTTCACACATGTCAATGTTTTTTAGTCTCTGGGTGGAAAGCCAGACATAGATTCTTTACTCACTTTTTCTTGTGAGTAGATCAAAAGCATGCTCAATGTATGTAGTATAGTAATATATTCATTCTATTCTTTCGAGTTATTAAATGGCATGTCATATAGTCATGCTGCATTTGGTAGGAGTAGAGACAGGGTTCTGTCAGGTTCCCGTGTTTCTCAAAGGTTAAAATGTTGATA